CCCACATGGAAGAAGCACACCAGCCTGTGTGATCATGAGGTATTGAGAGCATCAGTTATCAGGCATCAAAGAACAAAAAAATCATATCATTGTGAATGAGGGGGAATGTGGAGTGGGTTTCCAAAGACCATCTGTGGTCAACTGGACATCCCCATACAGAAGGGTCGCAGGGAGGAGATGAGCCAGTCAGGGTACAGTGTAGCAATGGTGAAACATACAACTTTCCTCTAGTTCTTAAATGCTCCCTCCTTCCCACTAGCATGATCCCAATTCTACCTTACAAATTCAGCTATACCAGAGGATGTACACTGGTACAGACAGGAACTGGAAACACAATCCAGGGAAGATGATTCCTTCAGGACCAGTGCTGAGAGTGGCAATACTGGGAGAGTGGAGGGCTGCTATGGTAGAATGGGGGAGCCAATGTGTGTGTGTGTGTGTGTGTGTGTGTGTTGGGGGGGGGGTGGCAAACAGTCAACACACTGGGCTGCTGATCACAAAGCTGGATGTTGGCGTCCACCCAGAGGCACCTTGGAAGAAAGGCCTGGCGAACTACTTCCCCAAACCAGCTTGAGGACACCTTAAGGAGCGTATTTTTACTCTGACACAAAAGCAGGGCTGCCTGTGTCGGAGCTGACTGGAGGGCAGCTGATTCATTGGTCTGAGATATAGGAGAGGCCTTCAGAAAGGGATTGTGGAAATGGAATTAAAAGGTCATGGAGTTTTTCCACCAACTTTTTGTTGCCCCCTTGTGTGTACGCACACAAGAGTGTATGCACCCTAACCACAGACCGGTGGTTCAGCAAACACACCCAGAGCCATCTCCATGAAAAATAATAGAAATACCAAGGTGCCATCATACAGAGGAGGGAGTCCTCGTGGCAGTGGTGACAGCAGTGGTTACTGCTCTCTGAAAAGACTGCACTTTGAAGACAACGGCTGCTCCAAGGGAGGGAAACAGGATTTCTACTCCCTTTCTCCCCCCTTAGAGAGCTCATCTCAGAAACCTACAAGGAAAGTTCTGCCTTGTCCTGTAGGGTCACTATGAGTCAGCATCACCTCGGTGGCAGGGAGTCTGGTTTGGGTCTCAAATGACGGTAACAAACTTAATTTTAGCTCTGTGATGTGAGTATGCAGAACTGCAATGGAGTCATTGACTTCCTGGCACCATATGCACCGGCAGAACCGAACCATGGCCTGGACCTCCATGGACAGACCACCTCAGACCTGACATGCACTCGGTCACAGTGCACAGCACACAGAGAGAAGCCAAGGAAGCCAGGCCCTGGGCTACAGTGGCGAGACATAAAATCACAGTAGGAAACAGCTGCCCAGGTCAAGTGGGTTAGGCAGATTCTGAAGGTGGAGCCTGCACAGATTGGCTGTAACTGGCAGGGCTGCGGGCAGATGGGCAGGGCTGGGGAAAGGGACGGGCTGCTGCGGCATCAGTCAGGAGGGAGGAGGCGGCTCCCTCAGCTCAAGGGGAAGCTTCTCACAGGGCATCGGGATCACCTGGAGGGCCCATCAGACAAACCCCAACCTGTCAGCCCCCACCTGAGCTTCGGAAAACGGTGGTGGCAGTGGTGGTGGTAGTGTGTGTGGGGGCATGGGGGGTGGAGGGTATTAGCATTTCTAACAAGCTCCCAGGAGATGCTGAAAACCTGCAGCCTATACTGAGGGGACCTGCTTCTCAAAGGGATGGGTGGGGAGCAGACAGGTTCTAACCACTGAGCTACACTGCTTAAGAAACACAGGAGGTAACAGCCCAGTCGTCTGTGGGCAGGGAGCCACTCTTTACACTTAGACACGCATGACAGGACTCCCAACCCATCGCCCCAAATAATCAAAGGGCACCTACTCTCCATAATCAGGCTACTGACCTCAAGGTCAGCAGTTCTAACGCACCAGCTGCCCCTGGGAAGACAAATGAGGCTGTCTGCTCTGTCAAGATTACAGCCTCAGAAACCCTGTGGGGTGGGGGGACAGTGCTCCCCTGTCCCACAGGGCCGCTGGGCGTCAATGTGGCATCAACGGCAGTGGGTTTGGGTTTTGATACTTAATATAAATAAATGCCTGTTAGGTCACTCAACACAAAATAAAATGTTCTTCTGAGCAGAGACGTTGGGAGAGACGCGGGCTTTCCCCCACAACACAGCTGCAGGAGCAGCCCAGAGCGATCGCTCACCTGTCTCGAAATGAAAATGGAGTTTCTGGTGTGGGAGTGCACAGGGACACTGCAGTCCTTGACAAAGAGAAGGGTCTCCTCCAGCTCCATCCGCAGCCTGTCATACAGCTCGCTTCTGCTGGCCAACGGCCCGCAGGCGGCCACCATCTCGCACGGTTGGCATGTGTGTCTGGCAGGGCAGAGACCGACAGGCGGACCCCATCAGTGACTGGCAATGAAAATACAACTGCTGCCAGAGTGTCAAAGGCGCTTTTGTAAAACAAAACTAAATGCCCGCTCGGATCACGTGGGGCGATTCCTGCAACCATCATGTTTCCATGGACCGATTCCCCGCTTTGATGTGAGCCATGGGCATGACAGAGGAGGGATGGGGGAGAAGAGGGGCCCCAGAGCAGAGCACCCATTACCTTCCAGGTCTGGCCGGCGTGGTCAGAGATCTGGCTGAGCACATGTCCAGGGCTTCCTGTTCTGAGGGTCCTCTGGGCCACACCACACTGCCTCCCCGGAGATGCTGAAGCAATGCCTGGTGACAGGAAACAGTGCGCTGCACCCTCTGTGGCCACACTGGTCTGTCCAGACTTCTGCGTCCCTCTGAAGGCTATAGGAATCCCTTGGTAGCCATCTGTGTCCTTGGACCTGCATGTAGTACTTGGGGCTACTGTCAAGATGGGATGTGGTACAGCAAGCACAGCCCCCAAGCAGCCTATACCCTGGAGTCCAGCTTTTGGGCTCCTTCCACAGAGGTCTCTCTCACACAGAGAACTGCCTTCTCCCTCTGAGACCGCTCTTCCATGGGCTGGCTCTCAGCATGGGGCCCCTCTGGAGATTCAGCCCATGAGACTGAGCCACAGGGATCCCATCCTCCCTTGTCCCAGCTGGACGCCCAGGTCAACAAGCTGGAGATTTATCCAGGAAGGCAGAGAGCAAGCAGCTGGGCCCTCGTTCCCCTCCCTCTTCTCCACTTGGGCACTCCCCCCTACGGCCTCCTCTCTGAGCCTGGTGACTAGGAATAGCAGTTCCTGGCTGGGTCTCCCACTTGCCTGGGCACAAAGGGTCTTGTCTCAGCCGGCTGTCCTGCCACTTTGGCATGGCTCCTGTCTTCCCACTTCTCAGGTCTGAGGAGATGTTCCACATGAAATACTTTTGTTTCTCCCATCATTGAAAGCTATGCAATTACTCTTACCTCTCCAATGCATTCATCATGTTGGTTTATATTATGAGACTGTGGCAGATATAAAATCTCCTGTCAACTTGTGAAGGGGTGAAGTCTAACCTGTCAATCAGGTTGCTGCTTGATGGCCTCATTTGGAGTCATGGCGGAGATAAATAACTCACTAGAGGCCAGATACACTCTCTGCTTCATCTTCCCGCTGACAAGACACATGGAGCCAAGCTGATGGACCCAGAGCCCTGGAGCTGGAGGAGCCACGTGGAGACCCACACCAATGTGGAGATGCTTCCAGCCCCACTGGATCCACAAGACTTAATCACCCACTAGCCTGTGATTTTCCTGCATTCAGCATTATTGAATGGCTGTGTGAGTCTGAAGAGGAATTTATAGAGTGGTATCAGACATATGGGCTAATATTGGACTTAGGGACTTGTTCTGGACTGGGCTGGGATGTTTTCTCAATATACAATTAGTCTATTATAAAGCTCTCTCTTACATACATATGAGTGTTTCCCTGGATTTGTTTCCTCTAGTCAACCTGGACTAATACAGAGACCTCTTCCCCTCCCACCACTCAATTGCACAGATTAAGAAACGAAGGTCCAAATCAGTTTGTTGCATTCTGCTTTAACCCCATCAGACACTCTTTAAGCTGGAAGGAATATAGAAGAGTCAGATGGACTGTGTCTGGAAAGCGATGACGGAGCATCTCAGCAGCAGCATCAGAACCAGACGAGAGAACAGAGCGTCCACTGCTCAGCTGCAAGATCAAACTTAAAAGCCTCCATCAGAGCTTCAAACTGGTTCCATTTGCTCTGCTCTGGGCCCTGATGGCCATTTGCATTTCCATCTGAGGTACAGAATCAGAAGCTACACTTGAACAAGATCTTGACTCAATTCATATAGTGCCCCAGGTGGTCCATAAGTTTGCATACGTCACTTGGGGATCATGTGAAAATGTAGATCCTGGCCCAGTAGATCTAGAGTAGAGAATTCTTTGACAGAGGGTCAAACTCGAATGAACCAGGTCAAAGCTCTGATTAAAACAAGTTTGTGAGAGCCAAAGTGCAGCCCTGACCACATCCCCCAGGAATTTCAGAGACACACTGCACACTAATGATCATGGGCCAGGCAAGCTGTGGGGTGACATCAAGGAAATCACATGAGGAAAGCCATAGGTCATTAAAAAGGAACAAACAAAATGAATGTCAGAAGACTCTGAAACTCACTCTTGAATGTAGTTGAAGTGATTGTAAGAAGTGAAGTAAAAGAGTTGAACAAAAGACTTCAAAGGACAGCTTGAGAAGACAGCATTATAATGAAATGTGCAAACACCTGGAGTTAGAAATTCAAAAGGGAAAGCGTGCTGAGCCTTTCTCAAGCATAAAGAATGGAAAGTAAATAAATAAATCTAAGGCTTGAGTTACAACACTGAAGGGTTCAAAGGACCAGATATCGAACAATGCAAGAAACATCCAAAGAAAGTGGGAGAAATGCGCAGAATCACTGCACCGAAAAGAATGGGTGGACAGTCAATGGATTCAAGAGGTAAGATAGGATCAAGAATAGATGACGTCAAAGGCAGAGGTTCATATTTGTGCCTATTCCAAAGAAAGGAAACCCAACATAAATATAAAAAAATTGTCTAACATTAATTATTAACATCACCGAAACCACAAAGATACAACACATAAGTAAAATCTTGCTGAAGACTATTTAAAAATGGCTGCAGCAGTACACGGGCAGGGAACTGACAGAAATTCAAGCCAGAGCCAAAAGAGGATATGGAATGGGGCTATCATTACTGATTCCAGATCTTGACTGAAACTAGGGAACACTAGGGAGATGGATGCTTATGTGTCACTGGCGATGAAAGGGCATTTGACCTGACAGATTCTAACATCATGAATAGCATTTCAAAGACTGGCAATTCCAGAAGTCTTACCAGAGCCTCTAATACACCAAGAGGCAGGCCTTCGAACCAAATATGGTGGTACTGAGTGGTTTTAAATCAGAAAGGATTAGCTTTAGGGTTCTATCCTTTCACCATACTTAGTCAATCTGTGTGCTGGGCTGGACTATGTGAAGAAGAATGGGGCATCAAGATTGGAGGAAGACTCATCAATAACCTATATTAGGCAGATGACACAACCTTGCTTGGTAGGAGCTAAAAGGACTTGAAGAACTTACTGATGAAGATCAAAAGCCACAACCTTGGGTATGGATTATGCCTCAACATAAAAAAAATGAAAATCTCACAACTGAACCAACAGACAATATCAGGACACACAGAGAAATGATTGAGTGTCATGAATCTCATTTTATTAGGATCCATCATCAATGCCCGAGGCAGGAGCAGTCAAGAGCGCTCAAGAAATACGACATATTGCATTGGGCTAATGTAGTACCTGCAACACCTGGGGCCCATGATGAGTCAGAACCAATTCAATGGCAGGTGGCTTGTTTTGGGTTTGGTATCCAAAACCTTAAAAGGTTTATCTATAGTTGCAGGGGCAGCACATTATTTAATGTGTACTCACCAAAGTCTCCATATCTCCCACCAAACGACCATTTCCGAATGGGTCTGGGTAAGATGGTTGGGAAAGATATGAATAGGTTTCACCAACGTGGTAGTTACATCATCTGTTATAATTTGGAGAGGATTAAGAGTGAATGGGTGGAGTTTAGCCTGTCAATCAGATTGCAGCTTGATGACCTCATTTGGAGGCACTAAAGAGATAAATAACTTGCTGGAGGCGGGACACATGCTCACTCCCTGGGAGACATTGCAGCTGACAAGACACATGGAGCTATGCTTGTGCCCTGAGCTGGAGGAGACACGTGGAAACCCTTGCCAGCGCTGAGATGCTTACTACGCCACTGGATCCACAAGACTTGCCACCCTGTGGCCTGTGATCTTCCTGCATTTGACATCCTTTCATGTGTTTTGTGATGGACATATGGGCTAATACTGGACTTATGCACTTGATCTGGACTGGGTTGGGATGTTTTCTTAATGTACAATTATGCTTTATATCAAGCTCTTTCTTATACGCAAGTGTCTATGAATTTGTTTCTCTAGTCTACCCAGACTCACACAACCAGTGAGTAATGGTGAACAGGAGTCACTGGACTGCCATCCTGCTGGGCATAAAATGAGCCTTCTGAGAAGGGACTAGAGGGCCCAATACCAGCAAGCATCTAGAGTGGAGCACACCCACTAGATCCTGCAATCTCTGTGAATCTCCTTGAGTCAGATGACACCTATGGCATCAGAAGGGCAGCAGCAGCACCAGGAGCCAGACTAGGAGACAGAGTGGTGGACTTGCCAGCCTGCGGAACAAGTAAAGCTGAGTGCTTTGGGGCAGAAGGATAGCTTGTGGGGTGGAGTGCCTTTAGGCACATAATGAGGGTGGGAGGTGGTTGGTGGGGGCGGGAGCCATAGGTTTGCTGAGTGCCTTTGAGCTGCGGCTTTCTGGACTGGGGTCCCTCTGGACACTTAATTCAGGGAGCTGGGTTCACTGGCCCACAGAGCTGAAGCTGAACACCTTCAGGTTGAAGTTTACAGGGAAGTAGAATGCCCTTTGGGCATTGATTAGCAGTTATAAAATAACTTTGTAACATGTCCTGATGAACTGTATCCTTAGCATTTCTCACCTACATTATAACCTGTCAACTTCCTTAATAAAATGATATAATCATTGTCTGTGAATTCTTCATGCCCATTGCAATGAATTGCAGAATCTAGATCAGTGGTTCTCAACCTTCCTAATGCCATGACCCTTTAATACAGTTCCTCATGTTGTGATGACCCCCAACCATAAAATTATTTTCCTTGCTACTTCATAACTGTAATTTTGCTACTATTATGAATCATAATATAATATATCTAATATGCAAGATGTATTAGGCAACCCCTGTGAAAGGGTCACTCGACCCCCACAGGGGTTGTGACCCGCAGGTTGAGAACCACTGATCTAGATGTAAAAGTATCATTTGAGACAACACAATCATTACTTGGGAAATGACTGAAGTAATACCACAGTGCTAAAATACTTTATGTAGAAGAATGTTCCTCTAATAGCCCAAACCTGGGAATTTTTGTTCAACGATTAAAGTCATGAAAATAGTAGCGATCAAATTATGGTTCACTTCTACAATAAAATTCTATAAGGCCATTGAAAGTACTTTTCACCTATGAAATTCATATTGGAAATGTTCAGAATATGATGTGAAAAAGCAAATTGCCAAACTATATTCACAGAACATCTAAACTTCAGAGAATTATACATGTAAGTGTATATACTACCCCATGTACACAACTGTAATTAAGAAGTGCATTAAAATGTCACCATCCTATAACTCCATGGAGAAAGGTTATAGGAAACTTTAATTTTTTCTTTTTCCACCTTTGTCAAATAAGGACTCCTCTTGTCCTGGAAAATGACCAGAGCTCTCTGCTTCCGCAGGGCCTTGAGCTGGAAGGAGTCCCGCCTGTGCCCTACCAACAGTCAATGAGAGCGGTGGTCTCAGACAGCTGACCCCTTGGAGCGACAGGTGGAAAGCAGCAGGCAGACATAAATGCTATAAGGCAGGTGCAGAATGTCCGGCTCATGGGCCATCCATACCCAACAAAACACTTACTGTCACCAAGTCTATTCTGACTCCGAGAGACCTTAAAGGTAGGACTGCTGCCTCTGTGGGTTTCTGACACTGTAAAGACTCTTTACGGGAGTAGAAAGCTGCTTTCTCCTGTGGGCTGCAGGAAGCCTGCAAACCATCACTACCAGTGAACAACACAGGCCTCATCAAAGAGAAGCAGCTCCAGCCTGTGAGGGGTGAATTAATTCAATGTTTGACCGGTATGACCCTCAAATATTAGAAGTTTCCAATGGCAAAAGTAGGTAACCCATCCTGCAAAGGGCTGTCCTATTCTAGCTGAGACAGGCAGCATCAGCACAGGATCACTGAGCCGAAGCATTACCACTCTGAGGATCTGCCCCTGCTACCTCCTCAGCCACGTCGGGGCACC